ACAAGAGTCCAACATGACTTCATGACTAAATAGCAGCAGCATTCCATGTATAGTGTATCATAGCCAGATTTTCTTTGTCCCTTTTTGACATCTTTCTGTGGCTTTTATCCACTTTTAACGTTCTAGTGTGCGTAACCTATCAACTTTTAATTTTAACCTTTAGATATTTGTGTTTAACCCAGTAACTCCCTGGAGTAAACTGCAAGAATTATATACAATTCTTATTGTGTGATATATATATATATATATATATATATATATACATACACACAGAAGCTACATTTTAATTTTGGATGTCCTGACAGCTTTATATGTGTGGTTGGAAGTATTTCACATTTTCATTCCATGATTAAGAAGTAAAAAAGCTGAAACTATAAATACTGGTGGAGACACCAAAAAAGAGCAGGACCCTATGGTCCTAGGGGACTATGACCTCAGCCAGTCTTTTGTCTGTAAGAAAACTTCAGCCAAAGAATAAATTTAATCAGAGAAGTGAGACAAGGCAGAAACAAAGGAAAATAGTCAAACAAGATTTGATCATTAAGCATAATCAAGGATTTTTAGTTCCTTTTCAAGGGTTATAGATAATATTCTGAGCCATATCCTCTGAACTATCTTATAGAGACTAAAATCCACACCAGGTGGAAGAAGTTAACCACATGAAGACATGCAGCCACGACTTAAGCTGCTACAATTCTGAGAGCTAGCCTTAAAGCAATGGAAACAAACCGACCCTGGCACTAAAGACTAATTATACTTAAATCAAGATGACACTGATCAAACCACCACATGATCAATTTCAAAATGACTGTCAGAGCTGCTTCTGCATGTAGTCTCTTCCCTTTACCTTGTGGGGGAAATCAGCCTTTGGACAGGAGTCTGCCCTCCTCTCAGGTTGTCAGCACTGAAAATAAAGCAAATTTCTTTTCCAGCAACTTTGCCTCTTTATTGGCTTCAGAGTGGCGCGCAGCTGGATCCCCACTTTGGGTAACAGTATTAGTTGCTTCAAACTCCTTCAATCAAAGTTTAATCACCTGTACCTTTCCACCAGGTATGTGTGGGAAGGAGGCAGAAAAGCCAGCGGCCCAAGCTATGGAGGGTGCTGAGTGGTTGACTAGCAGGGGTAGAAGCTTTTAATACAGAGAGAAGCTGGGCAACTACTTTTGTCATCCACGGCAGTCCCTGCTTTGTGAAGCTTTGTGGAAATTTAAAAAATAGTCACCATGAAAGATCTTCATCCCAAAGGGCTTGCGAGCCCCTTGTTTCCAAGGACTTGGCAGATTCATCTTTGTGGGACCAGTGCCCGGAAATTATACATAGTGAAATTTGCTCAGTCATGTCCGACTCTTTGTGACCTCATGGGCTATACAGTCCATGGAATTCTCCAGGCCGGAATATTGGAGTGGGTACCCTTTCCCTTCTATAGGGAATCTTCCCGACCCAGGGAACAAACCCAGGTCTCCCACATTGCAGGCGGATTCTTTACCAGGTGAGTCACCAGGAAGCCCAAGAAAGCGAAATGTGAATTAATTTGTGATCTGCCCGTGGGGGATGTCTCAGCTGTAAACACACAAGGCATGAAGACAACTTTGAATTCCACGAAGAGATAAAGGCAGACTTCAGCTCTCAGCAATGTGCAGAGGGAGATGTCCCTTTAGAGATGAGGAGGTATGGGATTCCCCATCCAGCTCTCTTCCCTACTGGCTTTCTGATAGAGATAAGATGCTTAATTTTTAAGTGTTAAGGTTCCTGGACTACAAAATTAAAAGTTGATGGGCATGGTAGTTCCCAGACTTACAGAAGCCCAATTCAAATTCTTTGCATGCCATCCCCCAAATGATGAAGCAGGGTGAAGCACATATTTAAAAACCCCGAGGAGGATTCATAACAGAGCCACAGAACTTGTATCTTTTCCAGAACTCTCATGTTAAAAAATAAAAGAGTAGGAAACAATGCATATTAAATGGCAAGGAAACCATCTCAGAGGAAATGAAAGGCTTGGTTCTCAAGTAGTCCATGGGCAACAAATTAAGCCGAAGCAAAAACTGTGGAGCTCATGGCAGCAACAGCAAACAAAGGTGTGGCCAGGAGGCATAAGGAACAGAAATACTGCCATCTCACAGCTGAAGACCCTCAGGTTTGGGGCAGGCACCAGCTGTTGTTCTTAGGGCGAAAGTGTCTCAAGTCCTTAACACAGTGAGAAAAATTATGCAGAAGGTATAGCTGGATTTGCTTTTAGAAAATGTGATACCTTCTGGCTGCAACAAGTAAGCACGTTATGTCTACAAAGGCAAAAGCTTGGGTAACATTTAGTCATTCAGTCTACATCCAGGACCACAGAAGCACTAAGTCAATGCCATGAAATTAAAAGATGTGTGCTACTTGGAAGAAAAGCAGCGACCAACCTAGGCAGCATATTAAAAAGCAGAGAAATTAGTTTGCCAATAAAGGTCCATCTAGTCAAAGTTATGGCTTTTCCAGTAGTCAAGTATGGATGTGAGAGTTGGACTATAAAGAAAGCTGAGCACTGAAGATGCTTTTGAACTGTGGTGTTGGAGAGGACTCTTCAGAGTCCCTTGGACTGCAAGATCAAACCAGTTAATCCTATAGGAAATCAGTCCTAAACATTCACTGGAAGGACTGACGCTGAAGCTCCAATACTTTGGCCACGTGATGTGAACAACTGACTCCTTGGAAAACGCCCTGATGCTAGGAAAGATTGAAGGCAGGAGGAGAAGGGGATGACAGAGGGTGAGATGGTTGGATGGCATCACCGACTTCATGGACAGGAGTTTGAGCAAGCTCCGGGAGTGGGTGATGGACAGGGAAGCCTGGCGTGCTGCAGTCCTTGGGGTTGCAAAGAGTCGGACACAAATGATTGAACTGAATGCTTCCAAATTCTGTATCTTTAGTTTTCACATACATGTGCATGCCCTAATGTAAGTATTCATTGAATGCATTTTCAGAGGACTCTGGGTACACCCTTGGAGGTAGTGAAGTAGGCCCTGCCTAACCTATAATCAACCTCACAGACCATCCCATTTCCTCAGTTCAGTTCAGTCAGTAGCTCAGTCATGTCTGACTCTTTGCCAACCCTTGGACTGCAGTATGCCAGACTTCCCTGTCCATCACCATCTCCTGGAGCTTGCTCAAACTCATGTCCATCAAAGTTGGTGATGCCATCCAACCACCTCATCCACTGGACATCAGTCTGAGCAAGCTCCAGGAGAGGGTAAAGAACAGGGAAGCCTGGCATGCTGTAGTCCATGGGGTCACAAAGAGTCAGACACGACCGAGCAACTGAAGGATCAGCCCATGAGTGAGCCCTGGGACCCTCACTAGTGTGGGTGGTTCTGTAGGCAAGACTCGCAGCCAAGCAGAGCTGACTTATTAAACCCAACTCAAGGCTGCTGTCTGTGGCTTTGTTTTTCCAAATAAGAGGAACTGGAGGGCAGCCTGTGGTTCCAATCGTGCAGTTAGGAGTTGTACAATGGTTTTTGCTTGCTGGGATTAAAGGAAGACTCAGATTCGGCAAGACTTCTGCCCATTTGCTCAGGATGACAGTGGTAGAAGTCCCACCCAGAGAAGTGCTTACCCTTTTTCTATGCCTGAACATTGCTCAAGCTACCCTGTAGGCAAACGGTCTAACTTCCCTAGGAAGCCTCTCAAATCTTGGCAGTAGCTTTCACATAACCTAGAATTAGTTTCATGTAAGGCTTTAGCTGCCCAGCCCCAGTCACTTTTATATGCTTTCTTTTCACCTTGAGGTGCTGAGGTCAGTTCAGTCACTCAGTCGTGTCTGACTCTTTGGGACCCCATGGACTGTAGCACTCCAGGCTTCCCTGTCCATCACCCACTCCCAGAGCTTGCTCAAACTCCAGTTCATCGAGTTAGTGATGCCATCCAACCATCTCATCCTGTCGTCCCCTTCTCTTCCTGTCTTCAATCTTTCCCAGCATCAGCATCTTTTCCAAGGAGTCAGTTCTTTGCATCAGGTGGCCAAAGTATTAGAGTTATTGGGCTAATCCTAGAAGAGCTCAATTTGCCAAACCTGGGCAGCTACAGCTGTGCTGGCGATAAGGCCACCAGTTGCACACTCAGTTTATTGCCCTGGGCTGGCAGCCTCACAGTGACTTTATTCCTCCTCTACAATTTGGCAGTTTAGGGATCTGCTGAGAATGATCCTCAGGTTCACTGGAGCAAGAGAGCTCGAATTTAGACTATCCCTCACCCTTGTTCACAATCTTGAAATTTTCACATTTCCAGCAGCCCTAGAAAACACATTCCACCAAAATAAAAGGCATACCAAGTATGTCTTCTTCCCCTACTCCCCCCACTATTCTTAATCCATGCATGGTTAAGAATCTCTTGCAAAACGGATCTGATTTGTCTCAATAAACAAGGCCTCTGCCAAGGAATAAACTATTTATTTATCTGGTCTCAGCTCTGGAGTACTTATCTATGAGTGAACTAGGTATTCTGAGGAAACCCCAAGACTGGGGTTGGTGCATGTGACAGACCATACATGGCCCTGCTGGATGATCACTAACCTCAGTGCCAGGCACACAGCTGGAGCTCAATAAATATGTGAATGTGAAAGATCGAAAACAAGATCTGGTGGTTCAGTATGGAAATACGTTGAATCAATCCAGGAGATATTCAATCCATCTAGTATGAGACAGCTGAATCATCAAGTAATATTAAACTGCATTTAATTTAGACTGTTTCTATCCCAATTTCCAGTCTGTACCATAGGATAAAACCTTGGGATCCGACGAACTTTGACTTAAGCTTTCCTTAGTGTGTTCTGTGATATTTCCCTAACTTCCCTTAATAAAAAGGACAGTTCTGTGATTCCATAGATTTCATCTGCATTCGCACTGTGGATGGAATTGAACAGAGTATGAACAAACCAAGCGCCCAGTGCTCCTAGTATGTGCCAGTAAGAAAAGGAAATTAGCAAAATGCTGCTGGTGATAAGAACACAAGGGAAATCTGGCTGTGAAGTAAAAGGATTTTATTGGGCACAGCAGCTTAAATTTTTATCTAATAGAAGCATATCAATGTTTAAACAACTTTTTACATGAGGTGAAACTCCACTTAATCTAGCTGACACACATTACCAGCAAAGGTACATTTTAAAAGAACAAACAAACAAACAAAAAAAACAAAGTCAAGTTTTTTCTTTGAGTTGGTGACATCTTCTTAGGCTTTCACAGTCTGATACTTAAATCGTGGAAAAATTCCCAAACAGAAACTTCTGGGCTGGCAGGAAGACTGGCTCGCCCATAATTCCACACATGTGAGTTTACAGAGTTTAAGATGTCTTTATGTGCTTCAAGAAAAATATATACTCTAACTTGGCTTTTTACATTAAGCTGTTAACTGTGCTCCAGGAATCTGTGCTTCAGAAAATGTAAATTCCACTACACTAAAAATCCAAGTGGCCACAGATTTGGAAAGGTACCTACAGACGGCAGGAGCAGAAAGTGCCTTCCTGGTCAGAGTGGGTGAGAGCCCAAGGGCAGACTGTGCCCAAGGGCTGAAACAAAAGTGATCTGAGTGAGGATGGGGAGAGAGAAACTGATGACCTCAGAGTGGACAGGAAAAGAAGGGCAGGGACCCATCAACAACAAACCAGACAGCTTGTATTATGTGGAAAAGGCAGGCTGTGACAGGGAGAGCAGGGTGTATTTTATTATGAAACACGTCAAACATACAGAGAGAAGTCCAAAAAATAAAACTTGTGTGTCCAACAACTCAAATGACGCAGTATTAACCTGGAGCCATATTTTCTTCAGCATCTTTAAGTACTAAAAAGCTCTATGCAGACTAGACAGTATCCCTTATGCATCCCTTCCTGATGCTCCCATGTACTTTCATGCGAGACTTACTGAGAGGATGCATTTAGAGGGGGAAAAAAAACACCTACCCAACCTAGACAGAAGAATGGTAAGCAAACAAAAATGCAGACATAAAAGGTCATTAAAGAAAAAGTTTCCAATAAACAAAAACACAAGATGCGGTACTTTCTCTCCTAAATCTAGCCTTCTCTGTTTCCAGTCTCATAAGAGTTGATCTTCAAGAGAGGCTGTTTCTGCAAGACAAAAATCAATTCTCAGTATGCCTCATATAAAAACCCTGTCACTGTGGTTCTTAATTTCTATCTCAAGTACAAGAAAACCAAATACTCACTTTTAATCTGAAATTCCACATTTCTTTAAGTCAGATCTGCCAGTTAAAAAAATTCACCACTGCAATAACAGGGCTTTATGTTAAGTATAGCTGTTTGTACTCCCCTTCACAGATATGCTCCCCTCCAAATATAAAAAATATTTTATACTAACCTGTATGCTGAAATACTTACCTCTTTGATGAAGAGATTACAGTTTTATGTTCTCATAACCACACCATTCCTAGTTCAGCAATTTTACAATTATATATATGACATATGAATGCATGCTCAGTCGTGTTTGCCTCTTTGTGACCCCGTGGGCTATAGCACGCCAGGCTCCTCTGTCCATGGGATTTTCCAAGCTAGAATACTGGTGAGTTGCCAGTCTCCTTCAGGAGAGTCTTCTCAACTCAGGACCAGAGTTTTATGTTCTTGTAAGTATATCACTGTTAAGTTCAGCAATTTTACAATTAAGCTACTAACAAATTTTTGCAATCAGGAATTCATGATCTGAGCCACAGTCAGCTCCTTGTTTTTGCTGACTGTATACAGCTTCTCCATCTTCGGCTACAAAGAATATAATCAATTCTTCTNGCACCAAAGAACTGATGCTTTTGAACTGTGGTGTTGGAGAAGACTCTTGAAGAGTCCCTTGGATAGCAAGGAGATCCAACCAGTCCATCCTAAAGGAAATCAGTCCTGAATATTCATGGAAGAACTGAGGCTGAAGCTGAATCTCCAATACTTTGGCCACCTGATGAATAGAATGGACTCCTTGGAAAAGACCCAGATGCTGAGAAAGACTAAAGGCTAAAGGAGAAGGGGATGACAGAGGATGAGATGGTTGGATGGCATCACTAGCTCAATGGACATGAATTTGAGCAAGCTGTGGGAGGTGATGATGGACAGGGGAGCCTGGGGTGCTGCAGTCCATGGGGTCTCAAAGAGACACGACTGAGTGACTGAACTGAACTACTAACAAATTAAACATTTCTCCAGAAATGAGGAAACAATGAAACTAAGCACATTTTCTCCATCTCTAGGAAAAATTAATTTAAAGAATCATTCAACTACACTTTCACGACAATGAAGGATGCTTAAGGAGCCATGTATGGTGATTTTCCTCATCCCATAACCTTGTAGTTTCGTGCCCTTCAGAGCTGATCTAATCTAAATGACACGGCAGCACAGCTACAGGTGAGCAGCAAAGGGCAGCATGGAGAACTCGGCTGCGAGTCCGAGGACCTCCTTTCCTGTCTGTGTGTGTGGTTTTGGGGCAACCATTTAACCTCCTGGAGCTTTCACTTCCTCATCTATAAAATGAGGCTTACTTTCTTTTAATCTTCCAGATATTGTGAAAATTAAATGTGTGATCAGATGTAAAAGTGATTTTTAACTAATGCAATACTCAAATTCAGGGCATGGCACAGTATTTGAAGGTAGTCAAAAATGTGTATTTACTCCTACAGGAAAGGAGAAACCAGTTCAACCACTATGCTTTAAATGAAGTGATGTGTTGTTGTTTTTTAACATAATGTCTTCAATATATTTAGAAACAGAAAACACTGGTTTCATCTGAAATTGTATATGCAACACTCAATACTCCTATGGGGAAAAAAAGAACTTATTTCACAGATAAAAAGATAAAAGCACATACAAGTTAATCAACTTGATTAAAAATATGATGACTTGGCGCTAGGACTAAATGCCAGAAGTTCATGTCATTGCACGTTCCCCAATCTATGAAATTTAAAGTATCATCAAATTTCAGATTTTAAACTCAAGTACACAAAACAGCAATCCTGGGTGTTCATTGGAAGGACTGATGCTGAAGTTGAAACTCCAGTACTTTGGCCACCTCATGCGAAGAGTTGACTCATTGGAAAAGACCCTGATGCTGGGAGGGATTGGGGGCAGGAGGAGAAGGGGACGACAGAGGATGAGATGGCTGGATGGCATCACTGACTCGATGGACATGAGTTTGAGTAAACTCCGGGAGCTGGCGACGGACAGGGAGGCCTGGTGTGCTGCGATTCACGGGGTCAAAAAGAGTCGGACACGACTGAGCGACTAAACTGAACTGAACACAAAAGAGCTGTCAGTATAAAAACAACGTATTAGAAAGGATTCAAAGTTGGAATTGCAAGTTAGCATTTATTTTAACAGTAACCCAAAACTTCTGAAGTAAATAAATCATCTCAAAATAAATCATGAGAATCAAAACTGATGATCCTGCATGAATGATAGTTAGCTTAGAACTTAGTCATGCTTTCTCAGAAACAGAAACAAAACAACTGTGCGTTAACAAATGGAGAATACATGCAATCCCAGCAGGTACCTCCTGAAGACCTGCTGCACTCACAGAGCCCCAGGGAGCAGGAGGACCTCGGGAGCTACTTGCAATGGTCACTCGAGCCCGCCAGAGTACAGGAATTAAGTCTAAGTTCTTTTGCTTTCAGCTGAAATTCTATCAATTCAAAGTGGCAAGAAGGACAACTTCATTTTGACCAGAAGTCCTAATTGGTTACTGATCACAAAACACTTTCCAAGGGTTATCTTAGATCACAGGATCCCAGGCAAAAAAAAGTAAGAAGCCACAGCAAGGGAACCACTATTTAAAACCCACTATGGGTTTACCTATGACTGATGGCCAATTCATGTTGATATATGGCACAAACCAACACAATGTTGTAAAGCAATCATCCTTCAATTAAAAAGAAAAAATAAATGAAACCCACTGATAGCATCTTTAACCACGAGAGTCACTGGAGCTAAAGAAGGAAGAATATGCTTTGTTCTGAAATGAAATCTATCAGTGCAGCCCATTTTCTTGACTCCTCAGAACTTCTTCACAAAAAGTATTAGCCATCTTCATAGAAGTGTGTACAAGAAAGTGTTAATTTCACTCTAGACACAAAGAATTTCAGGCTAAGCTTGACCTCATGACAATTTTTACATGTCCCTGCACATACCATCACGAGCTTTCTCTATGTCAAGCAACAGTAAGGACAGGATGGCCCTCGACTCAGTTCCACAAGCAGTGTCAAAGGGAGGCTACCAAACAAAACCTAGGAAGATGGCAGAATCATTATAGCCAGCCCTCTGATCATCAGATCACAGAGTAAAGCACAGCCTCCAAACACATGCTCTGCCCTGACAAAACGACTGGAGATGTCCTGTTGGGGGTTGCGTAAGAGAAAAAAAACATCAAATTTAACTTACTTTTTAACAATTTTTTCATTTCAATAAATTTATTTTGATTGGTTGGATTGTTTAAAAGGAAGAGAAGAATTTGCTCATGCTTTTCAACCTGAGGGTGAGAAAGAAAATAGTGTTATTTCATTCCTTAAAATGTTGGTAGTATAATTTCACTTTAGGGAAATTTACCCACTTGTTTCTGTAGCTTCGCGCAGCAGCAGTTCATCCTGTTTGCCGTTTCTAAAAGCAAATGTAAAAAGTTGTTAGACCTCTTAGCTATAAATAACAGGAAAAAAAACAAACCTGGAGTTTGAACATACACAAGCCTGCCCCGCAGGGCAGATCCTTTCCAACCACAAAGGACTAGATGGATTAAACTTTTCATCAGCGCTTTAATGCTGCCTACTACTGTGTCCTGTGTTCTACCAAATGAGCGCCCTCACCCGTCCAGGGTTTTGGGCCTTGCCTATCCTGCACAGTGTCTCTCTTTTTGGTGGAGATCAGGACTGACTAATCATCTTATGAAATGACTAGTAAGACCCAGTCGCAAGTATATGAGTTCTTCTCACTTTGATCAGGATCAAAAGGAAGTAGGAAGTAACTGAATGCTTGACTTTTTTAAACCTTGGAGCATTAATGCTATGGACAAGGTTTCCGAGCCTGATACAAGGAAAGTCTGGACTGGGAGGTCGGCTTCCTTCCAGGCTCCTCTGACGTAGCAACATGAGTCAGTACCCCACTGCTGGATTCATAGAAGAGGACGACAAAGGGAACAAACATAGCCATGAGAATAAAGGAAGATCAGACCTACTAAACTGATTACATCTGTTTCTGGTTACACTTACACCTGTTATTAATTAAACTTGAAAAAACAATACCTTTATTTAGAGCACTTGGGTTTTTAGATGTGATGTTTTTTGCCAGACCATACATCACCAGCTTGTCAGCTATATTGATAGTACCATTCTCGGAACACTTCTCAACTGACACCGTGTGAACATTCTTGATAACTCCTTTTACACAAATCATTACATTCTGATTCAACATGAAATTCTTCAGTAGCTCTATCATTAGGTGAGAACATCTTCCATTCAATTCCATTAGCCCTGGAAAAAAAACTGAGTATTAATCAACAAGTTCCTAAAAGATAATATTTAACTTAATTGTCTAAGGATAATAAAAGGCTCACTGATTTTAGCTAGCTTTAGTTACATACGCTGTAATGTAAAAAGCTGCTGCATTCGAAAAAATCAAACCTGACAAATATTCCTCAATCTTTATTATGTGTCAAGCACTAGTGAAGTGAAAATCACTCAATCATTTCCTACTCTGCGACCCCCATGGACAATACAGTCCATGGAAATTCTCCAGGCCAGAGTACTGGAGTGGGTAGCCTTTCCCTTCTCCAGGGGGGTCTTTCCAACTCAGGGGTCGAACCCAGATCTCCCACATCACAGGCGTATTCTTTACCAGCCGAGCCACAAGAAGAGCCCAAGAATACTAGAACAGGTAGCCTGTCCCTTCTCCAGGGGATCTTCCTGGCCCAGGGATCAAACCAGGGTCTCCTGCATTGCAGACGAATTCTATACCAGCTGAGCCAACAAGGAAGCCCTGTCAAACACTTAATTTAGGTCTACAAGTCAGAACACTGACAAATGTCTGCCTACGTGGACTTCTGTTCTAATGGGAGACGCAAACAATGATAAAGAGAATTTTCTAACTTTCTGAGTCAAAACCAAAGTAGACGGTGAGGCAGTCTGTTATTATCTGGTGGAACCTCTAGGTAAAGAAATTAGGAGTAAGAATAAAAAGCTACTTCAGCATTTTGGTTCCTTTTGTTCAAATTCCAACTGAAGGGTTGAATAAATATGCAGATACAGATAAGAGTACACATAGTAAGATAGACCAATAGTAAGGTAAGATGTCATGAGAACATCTCTAGTCTGCAGCAAGGCATAAGGCCCCCACAGGAGAGGTCAGAGGAGCCAGCCCAGCTGGTCCTGGCTCTGCCACGTACTAGGTGTGCAGCCTGAGACCAGCCAGAATCTCTGAGCCTTGACTCTCTGACACTCATCTGTAAAACCAAAGATGGAATGACTGAATATAATTTTTGTGAGAATGAAAGAAAGAGTAAAAGACATGAGTTGTTGTTGTTGTTGTTGTTGTTTTTTTTTTGGTTAACTCTGCTTGATATTTAGAAATCTGGGCAGTTACTTAAAATACCCATTTGTTTCAGACTTAATGTTATAGAAGAAAGAAAAAAATCCCACAGACACCAGTACTGGAAAGTGACTTAATTGTCTACCATCAAGGGAACATCTGATAACTTGGAAAGGAAGCTCCAGGTGGCTGGCAGAGATGGGTTGCACTCTGCAGAGAGGCAGAGTTTCAATGTTTCCATAGTCCGCATAGAGCACTTTCACATTGGCATCTGATGTCCCCAGCACAATGGCACGGTACCAGCAATCATCACCTAAAAATGGAATGGAGTCTCAGGTGAGAAGTTACATTCAATGAGGCCCTCCTCCCCTAAGACGGTTATTCACAGTTACACTGACATCATTTGGAAATTCACACCAAGATTTCTGATTTCATGCCAAGGATTCTAGATTAAACACAAGTATCACCTCTACTTCTTGCAGATTCTACTGAAAAGACAGTTACAGGATTGAACAGAAAAAAGGCTAAAACCACAAGGATGGAGAACAAGAGAGATGACAATGTAATGTTGGGAAGCTGGAAAGCAGATACATGAATGGAAATAACTTAGCAGAGCTCAACTGAAGCTGCTGTAAGGAAGCCAAGAAGCATCCCAGTTTGCATTTCAAATCCCCAAGTAATCAAGGCTCAATAATTGGTGCTACTCATTCAAAAGTAGGAGTAAAGATGAAACTGAGATGGTGACTGAATGTGGAAGCAGAGTTCCTTCCCCAAGACATGTGAATAAACTTTAGTTTATAAACACATTTACACATAATAACTATTTTTTAAAGGTGTTGAAGCTTTATGATTAGCTTTGTGTTTACATGTTTTAATAACACTTAGAAAGGTCCCCCTTTCTAGGTAATGTCTCCTACCCAAGGGCAGAAGACTAGTTTCTTCTCCAGAGAGGACGGACCAGAGAGACTATGGACTGGGGAACATGAGGCAGAGCAGAGATCCCTGTCAGGCCAGTCCGCACTTCAGGCAGGAGACGACCATCTCAAGCAAAAGCACTTGAAGACACCAGCATGAGGACTTCCCAGTGAAACAGCAGAGCCAGGTCACCCCACAGACAAGCTCTGCCCCCACTCAAAGGAACTTCCAATTAGCTTCTCAGTGCCTCGCCTTATAAAGACAAATAGCAAAGGATGACCAAACAGAAGAAGAAAGAGAAGACCAGACCAAACAAACGGGATATCAAGGAAACAGAGGCCAAGGACAGAGGAAACCATGAAAATTAAAAGACTATGACCATCCTCAGAGAAATGACCTTCCATCCTTAAAACAAGCACAAGGAAGTGTTAAAACCACACACCTGAGAAACATAAAAACTACTGAAACAAAAAAATGTGGTATTAAAAATGAGATAAGAAAGGCCGGAAGAGAAAACCGAGGAAACCTCTTGAACAGAATAAAAAAGATGAAACAGCAGAGGAAATTCAGCAGAAGAGTTTAAGCCTAACATTAGAATACTTGAAAGTTCATAAAAGAGCAGAAAATGAAAGAAAGGAATACAAAAAATTCAGGAAAAAATTTCAAAACTAAAGCCCATAAATTTCAAGACTAAAGGGCCCACCCGCTGAGTGCTCACTCAGTACAACAGTGAAAAGAAAAACAGTGTTGGTGAAGTCCCTGGTTAGGACTCTACACTTCCACTGATGGGGCCCGGGTTCAATCCCTGGTTGGCGAACTAAGATTCCACCAGCTGTGTGGAGCAGCCAAAAAAAGAAAGAAAGCAAACCAATGCTAAGTCACATCATAAAATTTACAACTCGGGATGAAGAGATTACCACAAGTTCCAGAAAGAAGGAAAAAAAATATGTACAAAGTTTGGAGAAGCTCAACGCCATCCACCTCTCCACCAGCAACGCCTGCAGCTAAAAGGCAACATAAAAACAATGCCTTCAAAAGTTTAAGGCGAAGATGATTTCCAACCTGGAATTCTATCTATAGGTAAGCTATCAAGTTGAGGGTAGGATACTTTTTCAAACATGAAGGGTAACAGAAAACTTAATTTTATATGTATCTTTTCTCAGCTTCCAGAGGATGAGATATACCCAAATATTAAGTCAAAAGTAAGGGATCCAGAAAGCAAGTTGAGATGAGGGAGGGAGATAATCTGGCATCAAAGAGGGGGTGGGAGAGAAATCCAAGCAACAGAGGGTTGGCGTGATGGTGACACGAAACTTCCAGGAGGACAGCTCAGGTCCCAAAGACAGGCAGTCTAGAGAGGAGCTGGTAAAAAGGCCAGGGCTGCCTACGATTATGACAAAAGTGGATAAAGTACATAAAGTACTCTTAGAGAGAATTTATACCAGTGCAGAGGACTGGAGATCATTACTGAAAGTATACAGAACACGAGTAACCAAAAAAGGCTGCAGAAATATTTATAGTGACTACATGGCTAGGCTGTGAATTGCTTTTATGCAACCCTAGTAATGTAACACAGAATACTTATCTAACCAAAAATTATGACACATTTCTGCCAGGAAAAAAAGAGAGGGAAACTGTAGATCCAGGTGTCATATAAAATAAATAGAAAATTAAATACTTTTTAAAACTAAGTCTAATGTTTTAAATGCACACTGTTCCGCATAACAAAAAGAATCTTACTTGTGTATCTGGCACAACACGCATCTCCAATTTTCGGTGTATAGGGCGATCGGCTTTTCTGAACACTGCAATATTCTGACAATTTGGCCGTCAATACACTCAGTTTTTCCTGATCTTCTAAAATATATATTAAAAAAAAAAACCACCTTGTTAGAACTGATTCAAATGAATTCTTTTTAATGGCTGAGTAATATTCCATTGTGTATATGTACCACAGCTTTCTTATCCATTTGTCTGCTGATGGGCACCTAGGTTGCTTCCACGTCCTGGCTATTATAAACAGTGCTGCAATGAACATTGGGGTACACGTGTCTCTTTCAGATCTGGTTTCCTTGGTGTGTATGCCCAGGAGTGGGATTGCTGGGTCATATGGCAGTTCTATTTCCAGTTTTTTAAGGAAACTCCATTATACAGAGTGAAGTAAGCCAGAAAGATAAACACCAATACAGTATACTAATGCATATATATGGAATTTAGAAAGATGGGAACGATAACCCTGTATGAAAGACAGAAAAAGAGACACAGATGTACAGAATAGACTTTTGGACTCTATGGGAGAAGGCGAGGGTGGGATGATCTGAGAGAATAGTATTAAAACATGTATATTATCAAGTGTGAAACAGATCGCCAGTCCAGGTTGGATGCATGAGACAAGTGCTCGGGGCTGGTGCACTGGGATGATCCAGAGGGATGGGATGGGGAGGGAGGTGGGAGGGGGGTTCAGGATGGGGAACACATGTAAATCCATGGCTAATTCATGTCAATGTATGGCAAAAACCACTACAATACTGTAAAGTAATTAGCCTCCAACTAATAAAAAATAAAGGGAAAAAAAAGTTCTGTGAAGAAACTTTCAGTGCCAATATTTATAAAAGTATATAAAAAGGAAAATTAAATCTAAACTCCAAAGACCCTGTATATTTTTAAATATACACTTCTGTTTTAAAAAATAGATAAAACCACTAGGGGGTACACTGTGGGGAAGGGATGCAATATTGGGAAGGGGCAAGAAGGAAGCCACCAGTGGGCTAATGTGTTGATCAGGGTGGCTAGTCCAGGGTGCTTGTTCTACAAAAACTTACGATGTTAGGCTACAGCTTTACAATTGTTCCGTATACTTGTCAGTGTGTTATAGGTAATAAAATGAAACAAAGTACTTCCAATTCATCACACCGTATGTAGCTGCCAGGATGGAATAACCCTGAGCCCATGCCTCCCTACTATACAGTTTAAAGATGATTGTTCCTAATATGGAGAATAAATTTAAGAGCAGTTATTGGTATCACCACAATTCTTGGGTTGATCACTTAAAAAAAAAGGTTCATTTTTAAGTATCTGCAAATTATTCCGAATAGCCAAGTTGTACTAAACTCAGCTTCTGAACTATAAGAATAAACTCAAATACACTGATGAGATGACTGAATTGTAATCTTTCATGAAACAAAAAAGGAAAATTAAAGTCAGCATTTACATGCTACTCTTCTTCACAATTAGAAGCACTGTAAAACAGTTCTTTAAGTTCCTAAGACTCAGTAACACTGTGATCAAAGAGTGATTTCAAAGTACTCTTTCAACACATCTAAAACAGAATTCGTTTCAAATTCTCTTAATGCTCGTAGAAGGTTAGGTTAGCAAGTATAATTCCATACAGACAGTACCTACTTTTAAACAATAAATTATACAGTAATCAAGGACACTGCCTCGTTATAAAAAGCTGCAGATGATCAAGACCAGGCAGAGTAGAGACTGAATGCAGGGCATGTTCACATCTGTTTTTAAAATCAGATTTTCCTTACATATTACTATGATCAATTAAAACACTGAGTGGAAAGGAAACAATCATTTCTCCCCATCGCTTCCTAAGGAGTTCAGGTAAGTTCATTCTACAGTTAAAAGATTAGCATAAATATGTCTCAAACTTTTATTTCTTACCTGCCATTTCATTTGGTAGAGCATAAAACAAGTTTGGATTTGCGATTTCTAAAATGCATGCTTGTACAGTTTTATTAACTGGCAACTCTATTGTACTCCACTGATTAGCTGAAGAGATGGCTGAAAATACATGAAATACAGTCCTCTCATGAAACAGATAAAACTTAATATTCTACTGAATATCAACACTCCCAAAGTCCCAAAATGAAAATCTGTATTTTCACAAAAGTTTGTTTAATATGAGACACTTTGGTGTGCATTTCAAAAAAGCTCAACCTATATAACAAGAATCCTTAAACTACGACACTCATATAGTCTATTTTTATTTCTGTAGTACATTTAATTATTAACATTTACTCAAACTTTAAGGGATACATAACTGTATGATGTATGTTTGTTTACCTGACAAGTAACTACATTAAAAATGAGTATAGTGTTCAATAAAACCCTGTTTCAATAAACATTCAGTTCAGTTCAGTTCAGTTGAGTCTGTCTCTTTGCGACCCCATGGACTGCAGCATGCCAGGCCTCCCTGTCCATAACCAACTACCAGAGTTTACTCAAACTCATGTCCATTGAGTCGGTGATGCCATCTAATCATCTCATCCTCTGTCATCCCCTTCTCCTTCGGCCTTCAATCTTTCCCAGAATCAGGGTCTTTTCAAATGAGTCAGTTCTTCATATCAAGTGGCCAAAGTATTGGAGTTTTGGCTTCAACATCAGTCCTTCCAATGAATATTCAGGACTGATTTCCTTTAGGATGGACTTGTTGGATCTCCTTGCAGTCCAAGGGACTCTCAAGAGTCCACAACACCACAGTTCAAAAGCGTCAATTCTTTGGTGCTCAGCTTGCTTTATAGTCCAACTGTCACTACTAGAAAAACCATAGCTTTGACTAGACAGACCTTTGTTGGCAGAGTGATGTCTCTGCTTTTTAATATGCTGTCTAGGTTGGTCATAACTATTCTTCCAAGGAGCAAGCATCTTTTAATTTCATGACTGCAGTCACCATCTGCAGTGACTTTGGAGCCCCCCAAAATAAAGTATGTCACTGTTTCCCCATCCATTTGCCATGAAGTGATAGGACCAGATGCCATGATCTCAGTTTTCTGAATGCTGAGTTTTAAGCCAACTTTTTCACCCTGCTCTTTCACATCAAGAGGCTCTTTAGTTCTTCTTCGCTTTCCGCCATAAGGGTGGTATCATCTGTATATCTGAGGTTATTGATATTTCTACCGGCAATCTTGATTCCAACTTGTGCTTCATCCAGCCCAGCATTTCTCATGATGTATTTTGCATATAAGTTAAATAAGCAGAGTGACAATATACAGCCTTGACATACTCCTTTCCCTATTTGGAACCAGTCTGTTGCTCCATGTCCAGCTCTAACTGTTGCTTCCTGACCTACATACAGATTTCTCAAGAGGCAAGTCAGGTGGTCTGGTATTCCCATCTCTTTCAGAATTTTCCACAGTTTGTGGTGATCCACACAGTCAAAGGCTTTGGCATAGTCAATAAAGCAGAAATAGATGTTTTTCTGGAACTTTCTTGCTTTTTCAATAATCCAACAGATGTTGGCAATTTGACCTCTCATTCTTCTGCCTTTTCTAAAACCAGCTTGAACATCTGGAAGTTCAGTTAACGTATTGTTGAAGCCTCACTTGGAGAATTTTGAGCATTACTTCGCTAGCACGTGAGATGAGTGCAATTGTGAGGTAGTTTGAACATTCTNGTTTTTTGCTTCTCTTCTTTTCACAGCTATTTGTAAGGCCTCCTCAGATAGCCATTTTGGTTTTTTGCATTTCTTTTTCTTGGGGATGGTCTTGATCTCTGTCTCCTATACAATGTCACGAATCTCGGTCCATAGTTCATAAGGCAATCTATCAAATCTAATCCCTTGAATCTACTTCTCACATCCACTGTATAATAGTAAGGGATTTGATTTAGGTCATACTTGAATGGTCTAGTGGTTTTCCCTACTTTCTTCAAGTCTGAATTTGGCAATAAATTGTTCATGATCTGAGCCACAGTCAGCTCCTAGTCTCATTTTTGCTGACTGTATAGAGCTTCTCCATCTTTGTCTGCAAAGAATACAATAAATCTGATTTCGGTGTTGACCATCTGGTGATGTCATGTGTACAGTCCTCTCTTGTGTTCTCAGAAGAGGGTGTTTACTATGGCCAGTGCGTTCTCTTGGCAAAACTCTGTTAGATTTTGTCCTGTTTCATTCTGTACTCCAACGCCAAATTTGCCTGTTATTCCAGGTGTTTCCTGACTTCCTACTTTTGCATTCCAGTCCCCTATAATGAAAAGGACATCTTTTTTTGGTGTTAGTTCTAGAAGGTCTTGTAGGTCTTCATAGAACCGTTCAACTTCAGCTTCTTCATCATTACTGGTTGGGGAATAGAGTTGGATTACCATGATATTGAATGAATAAACATTAAACTGATTACCATGATGTTGAATTCAATAAACATTAAACTGATTTTAATTATCTATTTCTAATCTAGTTCCACAAACGGTACTTCTACAGGAAAATTCTGTCACTTGAAATAGCACAATTTTCATAGCCTATAATAGCAAAGGAGAACACAAATTTAAGCAACAGTTTAAAAATGTTACCTTGAAGCCCCAGGGTATCAATCTGAAGGTCATGCTTATCAACAGGTCTGGTTTTCACTAAGTCTATATGTGGTGAACCAGCTTTTAATACCAATTGTTCATCAATCAGAATATCGCTAATGATTCTGGGATAAGAAGTGGAGAGATCAGTGAGTTCAATCCCCACTCCGTTTTCAGTGATTTCAACCACTTGAGCTTGGAGTTTTATCCTGGCAACACACGTCTGAAATCTTGCTATGGCTTCTTTACTCCAGTGTTTGTTTCTAGGCTGTATACCTAACAAATAAGAACAGCATTAACAAGAATTCTGTGCCCCAAAGCCACAGTTTTTGCCTCAATAACATCCAGGACTCCCCTTGCCAAGTTCACCTTTCAGGTCAGTGGTTTTTAGTATCTTTTCTCAATAGTCAATTATACATCTACATCCTCTGTGCCTGTGTGGCAGATAATGCATCTGCAAAAACACTACTGGGGTTTTAGGAGACTCAGGGTCTGTCATGACTTTCCTCCCTAACTTATCTTCACCTGGCATTTTCCCCAACAGGCAAAAACAGAATTACTGTTTCTAGAAGCCATCATTGTTACATACACAATCATCAGTATCAATCATTCTGATTTAAACAAAACATACTTTCATATAATTTTCCAATGATAATTTTAAAATGTCATCTTAAATTTGAAACCAAAAATTATTTTTCTAGGATAACTTTGACTTACACCCTAATTTTCATAACAGTGATTCTCAAATGTGGTTGTGTATTTGAATTACCTAGGGGCCCCGCCCTAGAGTTTCCAATTCAGTAGCAGGTCTTGGGTGGGGACTGAGAATTTGTGTTTTTAACAAGTTCTCACACTGATACTACTCACTGGTTGTAGGGTGGGAGGGGATCACACTTTAAGAAGCACTGACATAAAACATGGTAATTGAAAATAAAAATTCAAATCATACTCAGTGTAAAAAAAAAGAAACCAGATAGGCGAAAGGAAAAATAAAAAGCATCTAATGCTTCCATACATGACTACTATTAACATTTTTGCATGCAATCTTCCATCATCTTTACATGCATATGGAAATACTCACATGCATACACATTCATGATTCTTTTATAAAGAAATTTTGTAATACTAAAAACTTGTAAAAATAATATAAAATTATAAAAATTTTATAGTTAAAAATTACTACGTTAGGCAGTATTCAGTGCTTTATACTTTATATCTCTTTTATTCTTAATGTCTTTTTGAGGAAGGTACACTAATTCTCCAGATGAGAGAAAGGAAGCACAGAGTTTAACCAGTTTACCTAAGATCTCATGGCTAGCAAGCAGCAGAGGCGGTGCTAATCTGTTCTCTTAATCACAATACTACCCTGCATCTCTTTTATAACTGGCTTCCTTCACTTAATTCATGAACTGCTCTTCATGTCAACAACACATATTTAACATTTTAATGACTGTGTAATAAGAACAAACAATTAATGGAACTCTCTGAGTGCCAGGCCCTGGTCTAAACATTCACTCAACAATCCTCACAACATCCTTATGAAATAGACATCACAACTTCCCACTATGGGCTTCCCTGGCGACTCAGATGGTAGAGCATCTGCCTGCAATGCAGGAGACCCGGGTTTGATCCCTGGGTTGGGAAGATCCCCTGGAGAAGGGAATGGCGACCTACTCCTATATTTTTGTCTAGAGAATTCCATGGACAGAGGAACCTGGCAGGCTACAGTTCATGGGGCCACAAAGAATCAGACATGACTGAGTACCTAACACTTTCACTACCCACTATATGGATCCTCATTTAACCAAGGCTCTATTTCTGGCTATTTAGATTGTTTTGCCACGATTAACAGTAGTGTAATGAATTTCCATGTAGGTGAACTTGGTGAACTCATAAGACTGTTTTGGGAGGATGCATTATTAGAAGCAAAATTGCTAAAACAAAAGGCTGAAATACTTGAGGCTCTTTGAAACAAAATAGCTTACACAAAATATTAAAATTAGAGATATATTAACACTGAGAACTTTTTGTAATCTAAGTATTAGAAGACAATTAAGAAAATTTCTCGTTTTGCATCATACCTACTAACCAGCACTGTATCCCTTGAAATGGAAGTTTTAAAAACTTGGATGGGATCATTTGAAGTTCATCTGCAGTGACTTCTTCAGTGTTTCCATAATCTACAAAATGTACTTTAAAGTTTCCATTTGGTAAGATTTCCTTGACCAAAGCACGGTACCAATTACTGTCACCTAGATTTAATACAAAGTTTACAACATGGAGTATTTCCCTTGTATTGAGATTTGAAATTTTTATTTTGAAAAAGACCATCCTTTGCCTAAAGTAGCTAATAAATTTGTTCTTTTTCCAGATGTTACCTTTAGCTTTTAATTCAGAAATCTCTAGAAGAATTCTCAAAATTCATTCTTAGAATTATCTCCAAAGTTTTTATAGCATCACACTTCTATGTCTACTATAAAGATTTCATTCATAACCTAACCAGTAAGCAGAATATTTTTTTTTTAGTAAGCAGAATATTAAGAAAAGACTTAATAAGCTTGAACATATTTGTCAAACTGGAGGACATAATTCTCTTATTGCTAATGAGACTGTTTTACCTGTTACTTGGTAAATAATATAAAAAATAAACAGAAAAACATGCAATGAAATTAAGGGATTTCATCAAATATATTTTCAAGATAAACATGCAAAGGGTAACCAGAAAAAACAATGAATCTACAGTGAACAGGTCTCCCTTTCACTACTATCAGAAATTCTGGAAAGAAAAGCACTTGACAAAGTTAAGTAAGAAAGTATCATTTGGAGGCTCCTTGTTACAAAGAGAGAAGGGAGAAAACACAAGATCTTAAGCATTCATATAATTTTGATTATGAAAAATATCTGCCTAAACAACAGGAAGAAAATACACATTAAAAATGAGGTTTGAATGTCAAGAAATAAAAGATTCTAATATAGTCAAGACTGTGCCAACTGCAACTTACCTACAAAGAAAGCACAACAAGGTTGCCCTATTTCTGCCTTAAAATCATTAGGCAACTTCTGCTGGCAATATTCTGCTAGTAAGTTGTTCAAATCATTGAGTTCCTTTAGGGCTGAAAGCACAACATACATACGGCATTTAACATTTTTAAAACATGCTGAGTAGCAGACTTTCATTTAAAGCTGGAAAGTGTTTTGATGATAAAAATCCAGGTACATCTCCAGACAATTATAAAGTACACCAAATGCCTTTCCCTTTCCCTTATTAAGATCTTGGGCAAGTCACTCATTATTTAGCTACAAGTTAATATTCTCAGTAAACCTCATACCAACAATTTACCAGGCAGGGAGCCACAGTGATGGCATCATTGTCAGTATGCTAGAGCATGGGCTTTTGTGTGTATACCAGGAAACAGCAGACTAGCCTGCACAGAAAGGAAGCCACATACAAGCTGTCCTGAAGGAGTATATATGAACCACCACTAAGTGGGTGGTGCAGACAGTGTCTGCGAAGGAAATTCAGAGAGGTGGGCTCTGGGCACTAAAGGTCTCATAGAGAAATCTGAAAGGAGAGGGCATTCCAGAAAAAGAAACGGCTCTGAGGCACAGGACCAAATGAAGCAGCCAAAAACATTTGGTGGGAGTGGTCTGGCAGAGGAGAGTGGAAAGGTGAGCCACTGAAGAAAAACACCAGAGATGTGCTTAGAAAGACACGGGCCATGGAGAACTTTAAAAAGCCATCTGAACACCATACAAAGTAAAAGGGAAATATCTTTTAAACATGTGGCAAAGGCCCATTCACAGAAATGGAAATTAAACTGCATCAAGTTAGAACTGTCATCTTTCAGATTAGTCGAAATAAGAAAAGGTAAGGACACACTGTTGGAAATGGTGTGGGAGAGGGCACTTTCATACGCTGCGGAGGGAAGTGGCCTGTCTGACCTCAAGGGCACCCTCCCCAGGGCCCAAGCACACACATCACTCTTATTTGTGCACTTCTCTATGTGTACGTTATACTTAAATGAAGTCAACAATTCAGTTTCTTCGAAAATAAATTTAGGAGACATTCTGTGAAACCCAAATTGGTTTAAAAAGAGACACTATTGAAAACAGAAATCGTGGCTTACAACAGAATAAAAGGCAACCAAGTATAGCCAGGAGGCTTCCCTGGTAGTTCAGATGGTAAACAATCTGCCTGCAATGCAGGAGATCCAGGTTCAATCCCTGGGTCGGGAAGATCCCCTGGAGAAGGGAATGGCAACTCACTCCAGGATTCTTGTAAATCTTTCTTGGAAATACAAATACCCACTTGGCCCTTACTGAAGAGGGAACAGTATCATCACCCAACCACAAACTTTTCTTGATTTATTATCTATGACAATGTAACGTAAATAGGTAAGAGTCAACTTACCATCATCCCCTTTAAGCACATGGCAGTAAAATTCTCCAGGACTATCAATCACACAGACCACAACATCTACTGTTTGATCAACAGCAAGTTCAACCCATGTCCACTCCGGTGGATTGACTTTTGCTTCTATACCCAAGGAAACTGTGAAAATAAATGGACATTTTGCTAAACAAATGGCCAGAGTGGTGGGTCAAAGGCAAGAAGAACCTGTTTTCGAAGAACAGAACTTCCAATGACTTTCTTAGTCACTTTACAGGAAAGTTAATTAATCTCAGAATTAACCATTACTATCTCACGGAATTTCAAATTTCAAATTCACATTTCTGATCAATCTTCAGCTGCCAGTGACCCAAACACACTCTCTGGATGAATGGTTGATTTAAAAAGACAAAACGTACCCAACGTCAATTCTTTTTAAAAGTATGAGAACCCACACATTCACAGAGCCATCTGAACTCCAACATGGACATCACCTGGTGGACCATTTACTTACCACTGGCTTCTTTCACATCACTGGGCTTATCTGTCACTAGCCCCTCGTCCTCCACGGCAAAGCCTGCCTTGAGGAGTGCTTTGGTGACACTGATGTGGGGCGTCACAGATCGATCTATAAGTTCCACCAGGGAACTGTTTTCCAACTTGTCCACCACATTCACTGTGATCATCTTGTTCTGTACAATTTTCTTCATCAGACAAACAGCTTCTGGAGTCCAAATTCCTAATGATGGCTTTACTCCTAACAAAGAATTTTTAAAAGAATGTTCAAATACTTCTTATCGCAACCATCTAGAAATTTAGCTCCTAATTTCCACAAAGTTAACCGTAAGGAATCTATGACAAACACAGGAACCAAAAAATTCATTACAGAAGGATTTTCTAGACATGAAAATGAAAAAAAATTACAAAGTCTATAAAAAACTTCTATGTTTCTATGTAAACAAACCATCATAAATCCATCGATACGAAATGTCCAAAGAAGCAAACCTAGAAGACAGAAAGTAGATTAGTGGTTGCCTGGGAAGCTAGGATTAACTACAAATGGGCATAAGAGATCTCAGTAGGGTGATGGAAATGTTCCAAAACTGGGTTATGGAGATGGTGGTGCAACTCAATAAATTTACTAAAAATCATTGAATTATACACCTAAAGCTGTGACTTTTATGGTATATAAATTATAGGTCAATAAGGTTAAGAAAATCAAAAACAAAAGTATACAACAATCCAGGAAGAAACCCTGGTCACTAACACTGATGATGTATGAAACATCTGTAGTATTTACTGAAAGGGCCACAGAATCAACAACCCTAATGTTATGCATAGTCATTTCATAATACTAAGAGCCAAGTAACTTACGAGAAAACCTCCGATCTCACTTGTAATGAAACAGACTAAAGTGTTTTAGTTTATCAAAATTGGTCAAGATGAAATAACACAGAAGTATCTATTTGAGTGCAGGAGCTGACTCCCTCCTACATTTTTGGCAGGTGTGTACAGCAGTTCCACCCTTTCCAGAGAGCTATCAAAACATGTGCACGGACACGAAAAGCAGCAGACCTCCAACACCTCCATTCCACCTAAGGAGGCATTCTGCAATATGACTATATTTTACAACCTATCCCAAGGAAAGAAAGAAAGAAAGTGCAGTCACTCAGTTGTGTCCGACTCTTGGAGATACCGTGGACTGTAGCCCACCAGGCTCCTCCGTCCATGGGATTCTCCAGGCAAGAATACTGGAGTGGGTTGCCATTTCCTTCTCCAGGGGATCTTCCCGAACCAGGGATCGAACNGGAGGCAGTACATGAGTAAGAGTGGATAAGCGTATCACTACACTGAACTAGAAACAACTTAAATACAAATATGGATAGATATCAATTCCTCCTCTACAATCCTAAAATAATTCTCTCTCAATAACTAAAATGACATTGTTCTTTTCCACTTTTTCAAGGCCTACCTTTACTCACTCAGTCTCTAGGAAAGCCTCCATGGCTTTCAGAGCACTCTAGCTATACGATGTGTGTTACTAGCACACCGCTAACCAACTTTATTATTTATATGTCTATTACCTGTTATGGGGGTTCCCTGCTGGCTCAGTGGTAAAGAATCCGCCTGCCAATGCAAGAGACACAGGTTCAATCCTTGGATTGGGAAGATCCCCTGGAGGAGGGCATGGCAACCCACTGCAATATTCTTGCCTGAGAATCCCATGGACAGAGGAGCCTGGTGGCCTACAGTCCATCAGGTCCCAGAGAGCCCGACACGACTGAGCGACTAAGTACAGCACAGACAGCCCAAGAGTCACCTGTATTTCCCACAGGTTTATTAAGATCATTTTTGCATTAAGGTAAGTTGTATCTAAACATATTCCTTGATCACAATGCTCTTACTTTAGGTTTCAGTATTTTAATATGAGAACCATAAAACTTACATACCTGCCAGCACACATTTTATAGCTTGCATTGGCAACTCCAGCAACTTGGGAGTTATGGGGCAAAGTCTTGTCAAGCTAAGGATCTCAAAGTTTCCATAGTCCACATATCCGACCAGTACAGACTCCTCAGAAGCATAAGCCAGCACAGAGGCACGGTACCACTGGTCATCCTCTGAAAACAGAAGAGACTCACTGGAAATGTTTTTCTAATGTAGATATAAACAAAAACCTTCCCTCCTCAATTTAGATGGTCATTTAAGGTAGACTCTCTTTTAATGTAACATCAAGCTTTACTGAACAATGTATGCTTATTCAACACTGCTACTTTTGCCTATCAGAAGCTTTCAACTCCTAAAATGTCACTTTTATTCAGCCCTTACCAGGCCACTCTAGTTGCATGCTGCTGTCGCTATTTACTTCCATGCTTTGGCTCTCCAGTAGACAGTTAACTCATTAGGACTGGGAAGATATCCTGGTCATGTGGGTGAATCCATGAAGTCGTGATCAACTGTAGAATACCTGACAGTATGAGTCAACCAGACTCCATCAACCAAGCCACAGATTTACTGCAGGCCTGCTTGTATCTCCCCTTTCAGGACGGCCACTGGACTGCCCTTCAGCAGATGACTGAACCCGGTCATCACAGGGTCATCATCTGAGGAGCTACAGAGGCTAAGCCTCCAAACCCTCTTCCTGGTCCAAAGAAAACTGGCCAAGACACGACCCTGGGCGGTTCCGCATTCCCAAATGACATAAACAAGTATCTGTATCAGTCTCCTAAAGAGTTAAGATAAAAACCTGCACCACCACACCCTCAAAGCCTGTTCACAGGCTTCCTCCCTAATGCACTTTGATTCTGCTTAATTGGATATATTTAAAAACATAACTGGTGCAGCACAAACTTCAAATGCAGCCATCTAATGCAAACCCAAGATTCTGTTTCATTTGTTGGTTTAGTTCAGTTTTGTGGCTCCCGTTGTGTCTGACTCTTTGCGACCCCATGGACTGAAGCAAGCCAGGCTTCCCTGTCCATTACCAACTCTGCGGAGCTTGCTCAAACTCATCGAGTCGGTGGTGCCATCCAACCATCTCATCCTCTGTCATCCCTTTCTCCTCCTGCCCTCAATCTTTCATTTGTTGGTACCTAACTATAAGTAGAATTAACACCACTCCCTCCTCCTTACCAGAGAACTGAGCACAGCAGATGTCACCAATAGTGGGATAGAAATTCGAGCGTGGAGGTACTTGGCTGCAGTACTCGCCGAGCGACCTCTGAAGCTCAGCAAGCTTACCTGGAGACAAAGACCACATCTTAAACCACAGAAGTGCAAGTCTATGTGTTACCTGCACATCTGCAGGTGGAGTCTCTTGACAGATGGAGTATGTTACATTGACAGCACTGATTTTGATTTACTCACGCCCACTTTGTAGCTGTTGACAAAAGAAGTCTTCTGGAGTCTGAATGTGGGCGACCACACCACAAAACTCATCCCCTACATTCAGAGTCAACACTTTGGGGATGAGGTCACTTCTGTCCACGACAATTTTGTTTTCAGCGGTCATTTTTCTGACATCTTCAAGATCACCTTATCAGAAAACAGAGAGGTAAGCCATTCTGGTTTCGTTAATCCCAATTCCCGGTTTTTCAGGCCGCCCCGTGCTCTTTCACACCTCTAGGCCTCACTACATGCTGGTCCCTTTTCCAGAACATACTCCCAGATCTCCCAACAACTTGAGTCTTTCCTGCTCGGTATGACGTCCCTGCGAAAGGCTTCCCTCCAAATGTGGTCAGGTGCCTTCCCCAGGGCCCCCAGTACAAACCCTGGGCTTCTGCGAGCAGTCATCTGACAACCCCTTCCCTCTGGGCCTGCACTGCCCACAGGTATTCTGCTGGGCAGCTTTTGTTCCTTCCCCTGGACCCCTTGGCAGCATCTGTTACTGCTGATGACTCCTGCTCAGAAGACTGACTCTTCTGTTATTCTGGCAACATTCTCCACGTTCTCTTTCCACCTCTCCCACCACAGCTTCTCCCTTGGTATTGTTAAGCCCAGGTTCATTTCACTCACTTTACACTCTCCCTAAGACACCACCATCATTTATGGTTTCAACTGTGACTACTTTCAGACCATGAAGTATCGGGTTTTTGCCTCCAGATGGCAAAAAACTACTGACAGCTTTTTAGCAGGGCTGTCACACCAAGATTTATGTTTCCGGGATTCATATAAGTAGTACTATAAAAATACAGACAGGAGACAAGAGAAAAATTGGGAGGCTGTTGCAACAATCCATGAATGATGAGGACTCCTGAACCAGAAAAATGGCAGGAGGAAAAAAAAAAAGATTTTTTAAAAAGAAAGCGAAAATAAAGAAATATACAAATGCTATTTAGGAAGAACAACTAATAAAGATCTAGCAACCAATTATACAGGATAAGAGATGGGAGCTGAGAGATAAAGTAGATTTAAGAAGGACTAAAGTTTCTCTGTGACAGGCTGTGTCCCATCACAGCATCGTTAATTTGGCAATTCTGAGAGAATGAGAAATAGAAAATAAGTGCATCGACATGTAAAGTAATTGGAAAAAGAGAAAAAAAAAAAAAGGAGAAAGCAGACTACAAAAAGCAATACATTAAGGCTAGGCAAAGAGAAAATAAAATGCTGACGGCAAAACTTGTTGGTTTTCCTGTTAGATTAAGTGAAAATTACACAATTAAGTAAGTGGAAAATTTAAGAAGAAATACCACCCTACCAGAAGAGAATGCTATAGCCCTATTTATTACTGCCAGAATGAGAAGGAAGGAGGAAAAACAAATCAAATTACGGAAATGTTAGCTAAAAATCCCTCAACTCAAAGTGTGGTGATGTTTGGTATTTCATAATCTCTAGTAATTATCAAAGGGAGAATTAGCTGGTAAGAGAGGAAGGAAAACATGAGGGAAGACTGATTAGACATAAGAAAATAATACACTACTAAATTCAAAATTATCATTTTCCTTCTATAAAGTTTACAGAATGGTTATCATTTCCATTAAATCTGACAGTTTGATAGTTGTGCCTTTTTCATTTAGTAGAGAATATATTCTTCAATAACTAAAATCACTATACTGCTCAGTATTAATCTGTATACTCACCTGAATCTGTACTTTGCTTCTTAGAATTCTGTCCCTTAGGTTTCAAACCATATCCCATTTCTATAAGCACGCGGTCTAAGAATTTTCCTAAAAGTGATTCAGAAAACATATTTTCATTGAGATGCACTAAGTATTAGAGGAAGAGAATAAACACAAAACAAATGCATCATAGTCACATGATTTAGAGATTATAAGTATTCGCACACTGGCCAACTTTTTTTTTTTTCCATTTATTTTTATTAGTTGGAGGCTAATTACTTTACATCATTGCAGTGGTTTTTGTCATACATTGAAATGAATTAGCCATGGATTTACATGTATTCCCCATCCCGGTCCCCCCTCCCACCTCCCTCTCCACCC